GTGTGTGTGTGTGTGTTCAGGCCGTTAACTACAACAAGCATCTACCACTTTCACCTTCTTCTGTTTCTCTTAATATTTTGTCTGAATGTTCTCCTTTATTTCAGCTGTTATTTACGGGCTGATGTTAGTTAAAGGAAAAGCGAGCAGCCGAGCTAACGTCCGATAAACTCTGAGCGCCGGTTGTGAGCAAGAGCGGGAAAAAACTCTTCTGGAAACTGATTTCTCATAAAGAGCGGGAACCCTGTGTGTTATTTCTTCGTCTGTGATAAAACCTAAACGTGTTTTGTTTCCGCAGCTTCCCCAACTGACGGACCAGCAGAAAACCAACATAGAGGTGAGTCTTCGGTCGTAATCCGTGCTGCTGAATTATTGATCATCTGTGTGACGTCTCAGTGAAACGTCCGCTTTCTCGCCACAGGCCATCATGCTCGCCGTCATGAAGAAGCTGACGTATGACGACGAGTACAACTTTGAAAACGAGGTGAGTTTGAGTTTATTTACACTTTAATACAAACATATAGGGAACAGTAATTAACTGAAGGCTGCTCAGGAAGATTTATTCATTAAATTCACTGAATCTGATAAAGAGCTGATGTTTTGTTGTGCGACAGTAAAGAAATAAGGTGGAATAACAGTGACTGTATTGCTGCAGTAGTTTGGACCTGACGCTGTGGTTCTGTTGCTCAGGGCGAGGACGAGGCCATGTTTGTGGAGTACAGGAAGCAGCTGAAGATGCTGTTGGACCGTCTGGCTCAGGTGTCTCCGGAGCTGCTGCTGGAGGCCGTACGACGAGTCTTCACCAACAACATGCAGTAAGAGCCTCTCCGAGCGGCGGCGGGATCCCTGCGAATGGAAAAATGGTTTGTTCGTCTCTTAAAACGTGTTGTTGTGAAATGTTTGTTGTCTTTCAGGAACTGGCAGACGGCTCCGTTCATGGAGGTGGAGGTGGCCATCCGGCTGCTCTACATGCTTGGCGAGGCGCTGCCGGCGTCCCACGGCGCTCATTTCTCCGGAGACACGGCGAAGACGAGCGCGCTGCAGGACATGATGAGGACGGTCAGTCACATGACTTTGTTCAGTAGCCGCTGTCTTCAGAAGGACGGCGCCCCCTTTAGGGTGAAACCAGCTGTCCTAAAAACTGCTGCGTCATAATAAAAACAATAACAAAACTTCCCCAAAGGATAAAACTGTTAAACCGAGGGACTCCTGTTTAATTCTGCTGTGGTCTCGTAGTAAATAATGAACATAAAGGAACTGTTTTCACCCAGAAGGGGCGGAGCTTACTTTGACCGCAGCGTAACTAACACGGATCGATGTTTCCCCTCAGCTGGTGTCCTGCGGCGTGAGCAGCTACCAGCACAGCTCGGTGTCTCTGGAGTTCTTCGAAACCGTCGTCCGGTACGATAAGTTCTTCATCGTGGAGCCTCAGCACATCCCGAACGTTCTGGTGAGAGATTTTATTTCATTTAATCGACACATCCACATTTGTTTACGTGTGACCTCTGAGCGACTGAACCGTGATGTGTTCACTGTCAGATGGCGTTTCTGGACCAAAGAGGACTGAGACACAACAGCCCGAAGGTTCGCAGCAGAGTCGCCTACCTCTTCTCCAGATTCGTCAAAACGCTGCAGTGAGTCCGCCTTCATGTTTGTTATATATTATATTATATTATATATATATATATATATTTATTATATACATATTAATGTTAAATTAAAGATATTTACACTGTAAAACCAATGAAATGAGCTAAAAATACAAATAAACAATTACACAACAAATACTTTTTTACTGTTAACCAATTTTACAAAATGTTATAAATGTATTAACAATATTAAATGTATTTTAACTTTTTATGTGGAAAAAAGGACATTTTCTTACAATAAGCAGTAATTTTATGATTATTTACAATTACAGATTGAATATATTAATCAGATAATAACTTTAGTTCTGTTGACAGTAAACACATGAACGCCTTCATTGAGGACATCCTGACCCGGATCCAGGACCTGCTCGAACTCGCTCCTCCTGTAAGTGTCAGTAACTGTCTGTCCTCTGCCTGTCTGTCTGTCTGTCTGTCTGTCTGTCTGTCTGTCTGTCCTCTGCCTGTCTGTCTGTCCTCTGCCTGTCTGTCCACTGCCTGTCTGTCCTGTAACCACTCTGCGTCCTCTCTCCAGGAGAACGGCTACCTGGCGATGCTGACCAGCGACGACCAGCTGTTTATGTTTGAGACGGCGGGCGTCCTGATCGTGAACAGCGAGTGTCCCGCGGAGAGGAAACAGGCGCTGATGAGGAGCCTGCTGCTGCCGCTGATGGACGTCTTCCGCCTGCTGCTCGCCAAACTGCTGCAGGAGACGGAGGAGGAGAGACAGGCGTCCCTCGCCGACTGCCTGAGCCACGCCGTCGGGTTCGCCAGGTGAGCTTTCTGATCCGGACTCTCTGTGAATCCGCTGAAACCAGAGTCTGAACCGTCTCTCGTCCTCTCTGTCCGCAGTCGCACCAGCAAGGCGTTCAGCAACAAGCAGACGGTGAAGCAGTGCGGCTGCACGGAGGTCTACAGAGACTGCATGCAGACCTTCCTGCCCGCGCTGAGCTGCCCCGTCCAGCGGGGGGTGCTGCGCAGCTCGGTGCGCTCCTTCCTGCACCGCATGATCATCTGCCTGGAGGAGGAGGTGCTGCCCTTCGTCCCCGCCGCCTCCGAGCACATGCTGAAGGACTGCGAGGCCAAAGACCTGCAGGAGTTCATCCCGCTCATCAGCCAGATCACCGCCAAGTTCAAGGTACGCAGGAC